CTTTTAATGGTGTTTTTAGTTGTAATGATGCTTATATTAAATCATATTGTATTAGAAAATATTATAATACTCCATGTTAAGCAGTGCCTTCCAGTCACCTAATAGAATACTTGAAACTAAAAGGAGTTTTTGTATTTTTTCTGAGGAGCTCTAAGTTCCTTTCAAACTCCAGGAGATACAGCAACTGATGCTTGAAACATATTAGCTTGAAACATATTAGCTTAATTTATCCTTTTGTTTCCAGATTTTCTTTTCTCTTATTTCAATTCATGGAGATATCTTTTTAAATTTCAAAGAATAGGCTCAAAATCAATAATCAAATAACTTTTCTCAAGATAAAGGGAAAGGAACCTCTGTAATAATTGTTCACTTCATTACATCTCTTTTTGCTCTCTGGTAATTTAACAGATGCAATACCTTTAAATACATCATTAGAAGAAAACTTGTGGAAATTAATTTATTATTTTTCATCTATGCTTTTCAAAAATTCTTCTTCCTCCATTTTATGTGGCCCTTCTTTACACTCTTTTTCTGCAGGCTCTCTTTAAGAACTACAAAGCACAGCTTTAAGTTGTGCCATTTAAACATTTTTTTCTCATGTTTATGCTTCCTTCTCTGGGGTAGGAAAACAGAACCATAACTTCTGCAACTATCAGAATGCACTCACAGTCTTCATGATGAGTTAAAAGTTTTAATTTCATTATCACTGGCCTTCAGATCACCTTGATTAACTTCTCCTTTCTAAAGTCACCTTCTCCAACGTTGACAGTAAATTTTCAAAATAGTGAGAATTCACATGCAGGTCTTTTGAAAAGGACTTTGAGTTTACTCAACATTATGTAGCACAGTCCTTTGTGTTCCCCCCAACAAATCTGAAAAAAAATTCAAACTATTGTGAGTGAGGATTAGGATTCAAAAGTAAATTATTTTTATTAAACAGAAATTCCATTTCTGCCTACCTTAAGAAACTTTAGCAGTTCAAAAAGTGAAATAAACCCTTATTTCTGTTTCAATGGCTAGGGCTGCTTTCTTTCCCCTATGGACAGCATTCATTCATTTTCCTCTTCCTCATCAGAAACTGAGAGACATGACAATTTCTTTTCCCCTCCTTTATAACCATGTAGACTTTTAGTAATTAAACTTTTGAAAGTGCTGCCTATAATAATGGTAGTTGCAACTGTACAGTGACTGAAGAAAAAAATAAATCACTTTTCAGTGAAGAAATTAATACTAACTGAAACGGGACCCTAGAAGCAGTAATGCTTAAATGCACTCTTTCAAGAAATGATCCACTTCCTGACAGAGCTGTACCACTTCCGTTAAGAGAATTATTAAACTTGGATGCTTAGCATAACTTCTCCTTTCATGGTAAAAACATTAAGTGGTTTTAGAGAGATAAAACTGTTGCCCAGAGCAGTTTCATAAAAAATACTTTTAACAGCAAATATACCTACCCAGACTACTTTTCTGACAGTTATCAAGCACAGAGTGTTCAATTAAAGGTTCAGATTAAACAAAAGATAAAAATCACAGAGAAGATATGCAAACTAAAAACTAGAACTCATACTATACTAAAATTTCTCTCAAAAGCTGTTTCATGTCATGTTTGTCTTTCACAGTGAGTCCTTCCCTAAATTCATTTTATGGTTTCCAAAACTTGATCCTGTTTTTCCTCTGCTGTGCAAATGTTCTCTGTGGAGTGATTAAGAGGAACATTTTGTATCATCTAGCCTTCCAAAATTTGTCCTTTGAAAATAACACCTATTTCTGTAACAATTCAATGACCATAAGAAAGCACCAAACACCTTCAACTTTAGCTCCATAGAAACTACAAGCATAGTTTCCATAAGCAGCTCCCCTTCAGAAAGAAAGTAAATCAAATACCTCAAAACTCTGAGGCCCTGGCACCCTGGAAATATGCAGCTCTAGCACTCATGTTCTTCTTTTTCTCTCTCATTTCCTCTCAGGTCTGTACACTGAGCATTTCAATTTCACCTCAGCCCTCAAACCAGCTTGGCACACCACCTCTTTTAGAACCAAAAAGAAAATGTGACACTTTTTTCTGTAATAATATCCTTCCATGTGGGAATTTCCCACAGCATTTTTTTCCTCCCTCTTTTCACAATTAGGAATGGCAAGTAAATACACATATTTTTTAACAGTTGTGTTGTGGGGTAGAGAAGGGACATCTATCTTTAGAACAGTGTTACTCCATATTCCCAAACTTGCAGCACATGCTCAGCCCAAACACTGAACTGTTGGCTGACTGACCTGTTGGGTTGTGCACATGAATATGAAAATGCCGCTTAAAAAACAAAAGCCATTTACACTGTGGAGTGTGAGTAGCTCTGAACTGCCCCATAGCTTTTAATCATTTAAACATCAAATATTTTTCCTTTTATACCAGAGGGGTAATTTATTGTATGTACATCATACAAACAGCAGCGTTTTTTTCAGTGTTGCAGCATACACACAAATGTATTTAAATGCAAGTAACACTTTCAGTCAGTTAAACTGCACTTCTAAAAGCACAGTTTACATACCAAGGGTGGTTTTACTTCTCCAAACTAACAAGAAATCTCTTACAGACCAGTCTGTACTCCCTCTGCCTGTAAGCCCATCACTCTTCCTGGACTTTCTCATGCTGCTTTGGCTGCAGGCTTGAGCCAAATTTCCTCCCTCATCTGACTCTGTGACAGTCTGTGATTTAAACAGGACACAGGCCCAATCAGTGCTGGCACCTGATTATCCGTGCTTCTGACTGCCGGCGTGCTTCCAGGAATGGTTGGGTCCCTGGCCAGTATTCTTCCAGGCAATGTCTTTGTACATCCAAGCTGGAGGCTAGCACAGCTCAGTAATGGTATGCTGTCTTGACAAATCCAGGAGGCAGTGCAAAAAGAGGCCACTGTTTTGAAGGGGAAAGAATTTAGCTGCACCATGCTACGTCATGCGACTTCCCTGACACCTACAGAATGAGTCCTAATCAGTTTTATTTTCTGGTACATATGTAGCCTGCGTATTTTCACTTATCTGTAATTCCAATCTATCCTTAAGGCTGACAGAACTCTGTCCTTTAACAGCTACCCACAAAGCCACGTGATACTGCTGTATGATGGAGGCAGCGTCACCAGCCCCCTACGCCTGGACCATTCTGCTGAAGGTAGATCTACTCTCGTGTCAACTACACAACCAAGTCTAACCCTCCACTGCTCCCAAAGTTCAGCTGAAAGGAAAACTTGAGCACAGTCTTGTACTCATGGACTACTGACAGGAGGTTTAGGATTTCACTGCAAGTATAGCTCTTTTTGTCTGTCAAAAGGTGGGATTCTTTCCAAGCATTCAGCAGGGCTGCTTTGCTGTTTCTGGATATGACACAAGAATCCCAATGCAAAAACATTTTAACACTAGAGAAACTGTTATGTAAAAAAATATTTTTTTTTTTTTAATGGAATGACCATGTTTCATGTACACATTTCAAGGGATCCCTCAGTGATAATAAAGAACTTTTAGTTCATGGAGTAGTACTTTGCAAGGCCAGTCACATCTTAAACTGAATTATAAACAGTAATCACTGTGTTTTATTATATGCATCGTCAGCATAGATCACTATTTTTGGTTTGGTATTTTAGGGTTGCCTCATTTTTTTAAAGCTATTTTAGCTGAAATTTGAAAGGAGAAATTTTCAGCCTGGGGCAAATAAGCAGATAAAGCCTGTCAAGCTATGAACATCTGAAACCAAGACTATTAACAACTACTGGATTCAGTGCCAGCACCCTTCACACTGAGCACTGGTAAATGGAGTCATATTTCAGCTTCTCTCCTCTGAGGCTGCCAGGGACAGTTAGTCCAAGGGTAGGCTAGTAGAGCCACTGGATGAAATATAGCACCAGGTTCTTTAAAATCTAGTATCTGGGACATGGAATAATCAGAAGTAGTTGTTACACCTTATAATGAAGAAGTAGATCTCACAGTTCACCCAGATGCACATAGCAGCTATTAGTTACAAAGATGCAAAAACTTAATAATTTCATAAGTTAATTAATAAATAATTTAAGAGGTTTAGTATTTCCATTTTTCCTTTTATAGTTTAATATCATACTGATATAATATTTACTTTCCCTGCAATAGCGATGCTTCTACAAACAAGTAACAAAAGTTAGGGAATCAAGTATTTTGAAAACATCTCCCATGGTCAGACTTTCTATTTTTATAGTCTTGATATAATACAGGGGGAAAGGCAGTAACTGGATGGACATTTTTGGAGGAGTTATGTGTGTACCGTATGCCACAGGGAGATACCTCATTGGAACAGCTGCAGTGCTTGGTGGGAAACACCTTCAAAAGTTTTACCAAAAATGCTATGAAACCCTTAGGTAGTATTATTAATTTCTAGGATGACAACTGCAAAGGCACCCTAAACCTCAGGTCTGGTGTATAAACAATTACAAACCAGAAACTCTCACGGACTTTAAATAGCCAAGCTCAATCTCTCCACAGGAAACTGTAGAAACACACATGTGTACATGCATTTTTTACATATATGTGTACAAACACACAAATATTTAATATTGGAATGCGAATAATGGATTAACATAAGACATTTTATTTCATTAATCTTTGATGTAACTTAATTAGACTCTGTGTGAACACTGCTGCCGAGACATGGCATTGTGAATTAGCAACTGGTGTGTAAGGACAGAAGCAGTGGCATTCAAGAGCAACGAGTCAGAAATTACTGTAAATAAGAAACGGAGAGAAAAGCCATCTGAGTTATCTGTTGCAAGGAAATGAGGCCAGCTTTTGAAATAACAGATTGCCACCAAAACGTAACAGACTGAGCGGCTTAGCCGAGACGAACACATCGGATGTGTTTTGAACCGCACCTCCCCCAACAACGCCACCAAAGCCCCCTGCGAGGACAGTGTCTCCCCGCAGCTGAAGTGAGCGGAGGAACGCGCCCCAGGCAAGGCAAGGTGAACCGGGCACATGGATGTACCTACCCAGCACCCTCGCCCACTCCCGCCTCACGACAAGCAAGCCCTTGCCAGGCACCTCCTGAGCCGCGATAACCCTGCAGGCCGTGCGCCTTTCCAGCGACCACCAAGGCTGCTTTAACTTCAGTACACGCGGCCTCTTCGACCTCCCAGGAGCCGACTGCGTTCGCCGCCCCCTCCACGGCCCCGGCCAAGGGCGAAGGCGGCACCAGGCGCGACTCGGCGCCCTGCGTGCACCGGGAGCCGCGCCACCCGCGCCCGTGCTGTGGGGTCCCTGAGCGCGGTGAGCCGCGGGCCGCAGGCGGCCACAGCGATGTGCCGCAGCTCCCCAGCCCGGCCGCGCCGCCGCCGCGAGTCCGCACGCACCGCCCGCGCCTCCCGCGCGGGGAGGCGGGGGCTCAGCGGCCGGGCGCCGGGGCCCTGCGGGAATCCTCCCGTCCCCGGCTGTGCCCCGCTGCTCCCTGCCCCGCGGCATCCCCCCGCAGAGATATTCCGCTTCCCGTCCCGCTGCCGCATCCCCCGCGCCGGGCTGGAGCCCGGCTTTCCCCCGGCCGTCGCTGCGAGTGGGTCAGCCCACGGCCGCTCCCCCCTTCGAGTGCGATGGAACGAGCCCGTAACGCCAGGAAGGGCGCCATGGCCCCTCCCTCAGGTGATTGCCAGCTCCAGTGGTCAATCAGCGCCTTCCCTTACCGCTGGGCAGCCCAGCGCCCGCCCTCCCGCGGGGGTCGGGGGTCAGCGGGAGAGGCGGGCGGGAATGTTTACAAACAAGATCGGGGAGTAGAGGGGCCGGGGGGAAGACGGGGGGCGGAGCCGGCGGTTGGCGCAGCCGCCGAGCCAATGGGGGCGCGCGGCGCTCGGCGGAAGGGCGGGGGCGGCGCGCGGGGAACGTTCTCTGCCCGACGGCCGCCGGGGCTCGCGGGCGCGCGCGGCCAATGAGCGCCCGGCCCGGGGAGGGAGGGGGCGCGAGCGCCTGAGTCGGAGCCGCTCCCCGCGGCGCTGCCGCCTCCTCCCCCCGTGCCGCTCAGCCTATCCCGGCCGCGCTCCGCTCCGCTCCGCTCCCCGCTGTCGGGCGGGGAGGGGGACCGGAGCCCGGGGGAGGGGAGGCGCAAGGACATGGGCTGGTTCTGAGCGCCGGGGGAGGGAAGCCGTCGTGCGTGTGCCTCCCTAGATTTTAATAACTGTTTGTTGTTGGGTGGTGTAGGTCTGGGGTTTTCTCACCTCCCCCCCCTCCCCACCCCTCCACCCCGTTTTCCTACAAGGCGGAGGGGGGAGCGGCAGACCCCAGCGCGCCTGCATGGCTCCTCTGCCCCGGAGCGCCCCTGGAAAATAGAACCCGTCTCGGGCCAGGTGACATCCCCCCGCCGCCGCGCTCACACTCACGGGAGCGGCAGGGCGGGGGAGCCGCCCGTGAGGACATGGAGGGACCCTCGGGGGAAGCGGAGCTGCCGCTCCTCACGGTGAAGCACGAGCTGAGGAACGGTGAGCGGGCGGGCCCGGGGGTCGCGCGGGGGCGGAGGGGCACGGGCGGCCCGGGCCGAGGAAAACACGGCTGAGCAGGGAGCTCCGAGAGTTGGCTGGGAGCGGTAGGGAAATCTCAGTGGCGGGGGCAAAAGGAGGATGAGCTGGAATATAAGGGCAGGAGCGCGTACGATGAGGGCGGGGAGGGGGCCTTCTCTTATTTCTGAAAAAAGTAGTTCACTTCGACTTCTGCTCCATGCCTGGCTCCCCTGTCCCACTTCCTGGTGGTATTTGACGCTTTTGAAGGACATAAAGGGTAGCCAGGTTCTCTTATAAACATTATTTTGTTTTTGTGAGTTGTGTGTTTGATCGACTTCTATGGCTGTACTGGGGGGCCCGGTTTGTTCCAGTCCTAAATGAAGTCGTTTTATGTGACAGCTTTTCTGTGACCTCGGTGAAATGCCGGAATTGTAGGGAGGGGAATGTGCCAACACGTAACCACAGAGTTGTCTGGGTTTTCAGTCCATGAATCTTCCTGTAGCTCGGTAGTTACTTGACGACCCTCTGGAGAAGTAGTTCAACATGTGAAATATGTATGACCTTTAAAGATACAACAGAAATCCTCCATTGTCGGTTGTTGTGTTGGGGAAGAGCTTTATTTCTTTTTAGTAGGGATTCTCTGCTTCTCGGAAGTTTCCAGGCAACTTGAACACTGCAGTAAATCTACATTTTAATGTCAGTTTAGAAGAGCGTATAAAACATAATCAGAATGTGTGTTCTCTGTATTGATTAACAATGAAGGTGCTGTTAACCCATGTCCTTCATTCCTTTTCTGTCATCATCTTTTTCTCCATGATGAAGTGAGAGTAAGCATATGATGCCGTTCACTGCAAAAGTTTGGGAGGGCTGCTGCCCGGGTTGATGTAGTTGACATTCTCGAATGGGCCGGTGTGAAAGGCGGGTGGTGGTGCTGGGTCTCCTCGGCGTTGTTCTGCCTCCCGCCCCGCTGTCCCTCGGTGCTGGGAGCTGCCCCGGAGGAACACGGCTACCTCCGTGTTGGCGGGGGGAGGAGGAGGAGGGAAGAAAAAAAATAAAAAAGGCGGTGTCTTGATAGCTACAGAAACCGAAGGGACTGTAGTTTCCTTCTTTCAAGAAGCAAAAGAGCTGTTGGAAAACATAGTTGTCTCGATAGGTGTTGCTGCATTTAAGTGTGGAAGAGGAAGAGGTAAGGGGAAAGGAAATGAGACACATTTATTCAATATATTTACATAATTATGTCTCTTTTTTTCCATATTTCTATTATAAGGGTTGAGAACACATATCCCTGAGGGGTCATAATTTAAACATAGTTTGAGGAATAAACAATGTAGCATAATAAGCAACTTTGATTTTAATCTTGATCATATATATAGCTGTATGAAGTACCAATTCTCACTTTTAGTAAAAAAATTCTCAACCTTGTTTGTCTTTTAAGCTTCTGAAATTCAGTTTAGTAGGAATAAGTTGCTTCTCCCCTCCTTGTTCTCTTCTCCATATTCAGTGTTTAGAAAACTCTGCTTTCTGAAAAATGCTTTCTAGCAATGACTTGTCTATTTCTGGAGCACTAGGGTGGAGGAGGGAGCTGCTCTGTCATGTACTCCTGGGAGACTCCTACTCCTGAAGGTGTCAATAGTGTCATTGCTATGCAAGACGTATGGAGATACTGGTTCAGAACTTGTCTATACAATGCACAGAGATACAATAATTTGAGGAGAAGAGTTGCAGCCAGCTTCTGTTGATTCAGAAATATATAAAGGTATAGGATCCTTTGGATGTTCAAGGGTTTTTTTGTACTGAGTCTGGTTGTGTGGATGCTTAGCTGCTGACTAGGGTCAACCCACCACATCTTTAAAGCATACACAGCATGATTATTTAATTTTGCTTCAGTTTGGGAAAGAGAGTGAGAGGACAGACAAGAACTAGAATTTGGAGCCAGCGGATCTTTATTGTTCCTAAATATGTTCTATATCATGAATATCTTTTATTGTGCAATTTGTTTAGATTCCACTGTTTCCCTCATCTCTGTGTTCTTTCTTTGATGCTGTTAGCTCTGTGACTAATTTAACAATTTAGAATTCAGATTGAAAGTAGCTGTCAGTTGGCAGATGAAAAAGAGGTCAGTCTCCAGAGTGCTATGAAAGAATTTACTATTGTAGTAGAAATAGTGGCTTCTTTGAGAAGGGAGTATCTTTTCATATTTTGGAAGCTGTTACTTGAACCCCATGGTAACAAGCTGACTAATTCAAATCAACTGAATGCAGGTAAACCCACAGTTACACTTTGCATTTGCAATTACTTGGTCTTGGATTGCTTTAAAAGTATTAAATGAGTTAGGGACAGGCATTTCTTATGGTCAAATGAGTAAGTGAACATACTTTAGAATCTGAATTTAAGATGAAATGAGGATCTTAAAGAACGAAACAGATGATTGTTGTTAGCTCCAAGCAAGTATGGAGGCATATGAAAAGGCATTAAGTTAGAGCATATGCAGTGCTGTTGCTACATAGACCAGCTGATTGTTAACCCTGTCATACCACAGCTTGGCTTCTTTTAAACTTTGAAATTACAATGCTGGCTTTGATATGTAGGGTCAGGTTTAATTTTAGCTTTATATCTCATAGTCTTAGAGCCCTGACGTTCCTCTGTTGTACAACCAAAAAGTAATTGCTGGAAAAACATCACTTGATAGGCATGTAGATTGGGTCTGTGATAGGGAAGGAACACTTGAGTGCCTCTGTGTGATAGCATGTGATGTGCTCTGTTACAAATACTGGACACTGCTCTCTGTGTATATATATATATATATATATATGATGTTCTGCGGATAAGACAGAGCAGTGACTTTCAGGACACGTGTCATTTAATAATGATATTCTTCTAATTGTATTTATCAAGTTTTTTTTCTTTTCCTAACACCAAACCGTTTTTGTTCTTAATAGAAGGCTCACAATTCAGCCACTTCAGAATAGTTACTGTCTTTCTTGTCTCCCTTTGGGAAGGAAAGTGAGTCTTTGGGGAAAGTGAAATCTCTTTTCAGGAAGTAGAAGCAAAAATATGCCAAAGTTGAAATTGTAGGAAGTGTTGGCTGTCTCTGATTCTTACTGAAACTCTCCAGTGAAAATAATAAGAAAATGACGTTTTCTTTAGTATTTATTTCTGGAATCTTGTAAAGGGAAAGGTTTTATTTTTTTTGAAGGCTAACTTTCAGAGTTAATGCAACTTTTTGCAGACCTTAGAAAATGCATATTGTTTACACTGAAAAAAGAACATTGCTGCATCTTAACATTTCTGTTGCTTGGTAATGCTTCAGAACTGAACAATGGCAAACATAAAGTCTATCAGAGGAAACATTTTACGTGATAGAGAAGGATATGGAAAGAGAGGAAAAGGTTTGTGATGTCAGAAGATAAGAAGGAAACAGAACTGTTAAGAGTGAGGTTTCTTCCCCACCTCCTCTTTTTTCTGGAAAAAAGGATCAAAGGATCCTTAAGTGTGTGTGAGTGACTGGTAGGAGGTTGCCCATCTTGTGGCATGCATGTGAACTCCCTGCTTTGCCCAGGGAGAGGCAGAGATTACCAAATCTGGGATCTTGAAGGGAGCTTGCGATGTTCCGTGAATGTATGGA